TGTTTTACTTTCGTCGACTCAGGTGCTTAAAGGGGACATCAGGGAAGCCATTTGTACGCATGCTCTGTATTATGCGATCTGGAAAAAGTACGAGGCTATGCCGGAGAGATTCAACTGGCAAACTAAACAGTCAGAGGTTCACTTCTCTCCATTACGACCAGAGCTGATTGAATCAACTTACCTTTTACATCAGGTGAGATGCTTGATAAATAGGAGATCTAGGAGACGTGGTGGCCTCATGGTTAGCGCGCTGGACTTCAGCTGGAGAGGTCTGGGTCCGAGCCCTGGCCGATTTGGGCAAATTACTTTACTCTCGCCGTGTTTCTTTCCACCCAGGAATGTATTGCATACCTGATCAATTTGTCTGTTTGTCACAGGCCACCCATCACCCGTTCTACCTCCACGTTGGCAGAGAAATCATGAGGGACATAGAAAAACACAGCAAAGCAAGGTTCGTGTGTGTGATGTTGTTGGTTTTTGTTTGTTCCTTTGTTTGGTTTCGTCTTGATCACCTGAGTGTGGATCAGTTTTCGGCTGAAATTGGCAAGTTTTGAGGGACGAAAGTGTGGTGCTGAAAAGATATTTTAAACTCCTGTTGAGAGAGAATTTGAAGGAGCAGTATTTCTTAAATATTGCAGCAATAATTAAAAAATAGTCATCGAAGTGGAGGTGAATAGAGGTGGATATTTCACCGAATTGTTTTAGTATATACCACATAGTGTATTTTTTTCAATATCCCGAAAAATGGTCGAAAATTTAACTCTTCACGCGCTATTTTGTGCCATCGACTACTTAGAATTCCGAACCAGCCAGTCAGCGCGCGCGAAAAGCTCTATTCTTGTGGTACATACTGACAAACGTTTACTCTTTTTATGCCGCTAAGCTATGATTGATTTTGACTGCCTTTTGATGCACTTTGCCATTTTCAATTGAAGTTTTGTTTGGTTTCAGATGTGGTTACGCTACCTTACATGATGTGAATGACAAAACTCAAGAAGATAGGATGGAGAGCTTCTTCTTGAGTGAAACGTGCAAATATCTTTATCTCGTAAGTACTGAAGTATTTGTAACTGATTACCACTTGCGAGTGTACAAGAAATGAAAATGTAGAAATGAAATGATAATCTTGAAAGCTCACCAAGAACTCGTTCTTTCACTGGATCAATCTAAAATAGCGTAGCAGCGTAACGCTTCGAGCCGCTTTGCCTTAGTGTCAAATGTAATTCAGGAGTAGATTGGCTTTGCTTTGCCTCGTGCTGTGATTGGTCTACAATCCTGGTACCACCCTCACAACCAATCGGATGCAAGCAAAGCCATGCGCGTTTTCCTGCGCTTTATCTGGTTTACTTGTACTCACTTCGTGTTCTTACCTTTGCTCTGATTGGCCGCAGTGATAACTTTGGTCTCGGTTTCATAGCACGTGACCCAAACCCCCCAAGCGACTGATTGTTTCTTTTTTTTCACAGCTATTCGATGACAACAACCATCTCAACCAGGACGCTTCAAACTACATTTTTAGCACAGAAGGACATGTCTTTAGAATCGACTCTCGGTTTAGGAAAAGGCCATGGGATGAAGAGACAAAAATGTTTGCACAGAGGACAACGAAAAGAACTTTCAACACCCAGTCCTCAGGGGGTTATAATGACAGTATTGGGGTAGGTGCCCTTGAGTAGGCCTTGAGATTTTGTTGTTTAGTTTGTTGTTTGGTATTCTTTGTGTCAAGTATACAAAGTTCCAACACGTTGATTTGTTTGTTTGTTTTTTTTTTATTTACTTATTTTGCTCGCTTTCGTTCATTTGTTCGTTTTTCTCTGTGTCCTTTTGTCCGTGCATTGGATCTGTAACTCGTTTTTTATCTCGCTTCTTGGTTCGGTCAGTGGGAATTTTGTTTGTGTGTTCCTTCAATACACAATTCCCTCGGTTGTTCGTTTGTTCAGTCGGTCGGTCGGTCAGTCGGTTGCTCGGTAGGTCGGTCGGGCGGTCGGTCGCTGATTCGGTCTGTCGTTTTGTTAGTCGGTCGGGCGGTCGGTTCGTCGGTCTCTCGGTGGGTCAGTTTGCCGTTCGCTCGGGTGGTCGTTAAGTTGGTCGTGCTTTTAGGAGTTCGTTTCTTTGTTCGGTGATCTTCCAAGTGTTTGTTCGTTTCTTTGTTCCTCTTCATTTCCCCTTTGAGTTCATTCCTTTGTTTTTTGTTGTTTTGTTCTGTCTTTGTTTGTTTGTCTGACTTTCTTTTTTTTAATCGCTGAATGTTTGGTTACCTCTTGGAACCAATCAATCAGCGAAACGCAGCGAGCGAACCATGGAGCGTACACGCGAAGCCTTCTTGTACGTGTTTTGTTGTTCGTTCGTTCTGTCTGTTCTGTTCTTATCAATGATACTTTCATCGGTCACTATCTATTTATTTCTCAGTGCGTCAGCTTTTGTAGTGACCTGAATAGTCCTCTACCAATGGACATTCGATACTGGAAAGAAGTAGAAGCAGCAGTTGGTGTATGATAGCTGTGCCAATTACGCTGGGAATAAACAACAAACAGCTAATCGCGGCACAAGTTCCTTCACATTGTGACTGCTACATGGTACAACTGGAAAATCATTCAACTTCCCGGAATTTCCTTCACACTACTACTAAGTAGTACTCAAACAGACGAATAAAACTACAAGACGTTTGAGTCAAAGGGTTTTTTGAGAACTTGCAACTTGGGGATTTCTTCTCAAGCAACTATGGACCATTGCGTTTTCTGGCTTGAGGCTTAGCGCATATTTTATGGACTAATCCAACACCTGGTTGCTGCGTCATAGAGATGATCACTTGTCTCCATGTACACTAGATGTCTTAAAAGGGAATTTTTTTATCGCTACAACAGACAAATGTACCCAGAAATTGCTCGATCAAGTGAGACATCATATCAATGAAACTATGTCGAAGTACTTTGAAAGATTTTCTGAAGTGAAAGCTTCAACGGAAGTAGTCTCTCAAGAGTGGAAAAGTCAAGTGGGGGGAGTTAGGAAAATGGAGGCTTAATTTCCACGTTTCATTTTTTTAATTGAAAAATGTCGAAGATTTGTGAAAAAATGGTTCGCGGCTGGAATAACGCGACGTTTCTTCCCGGACAAGAGAATGATCAGATGCCTTGGGAAATTT